ATCTAATTTCAAACACTGCTAGTACCTTTTCAGAGTTTCTCAAGCAACAATTCATATGACACATGCGTTAGTAAGAGGTGGTCCAATATGTGTTAGCCGACATAACTTTGATTTGAACACGCGTTGTTCGCTAAAAAGCACTGAATACGATTGCGCTGAAGTTTACGCAACTTTCAAAACGTCATTTTACATTAACAGTGGCCATAGTGAGGATGACCTCACGTCTTATGTTAACTTTTGTGCTACATGGGTCACCAGGATATTGCAAGTCATTTTGTTTACAACGAATGAATCCATGCATAAAATACGGTTGGCATCACTTTCCAAGCCCTAATTTACTACTTTGATCAATTACTTTACTTCTGAAATAGGACATTATATTCCTCTTAAAAAATAAAATGTGAAGAGTTTCACATAAACAAACAAAAGAAGTTTGGTGCGATAGGTTTGCCTAAGATGTGGAAATTTTACAGTTATGGTTATTCTATAAAGTATTGAAGTGTAGTGTGCATAAGCAAGGGCAAAAATTACAATGTAGACCTTTATTAATTCAAGTTAACCTAGCTTGAATGTCCCTAAGGCAGCCCAATTCCTCGCATTCAAAATATGCGACAGCTTCTCAAAGAGTTACCACACTGCCTCATTAGCGGGGTTCAGTGATGAAGCATGCAAAACGCGCACTGGTATAGGGTAGTCCGATGTGTGGACATGAAAATATTCAAGAGAATTGCGGTAAACTCCATTTGTGCTTTTAGGCGCGAGTCGCGGAGCTGGAGGAGAGGCTTCAAGATGAGCGCATAATCCTTACAAAGGTAGGCTGAGATTTCATTTTTACGATCACGCACGCCATATCGAAACGCCCCGAGAAATTGCTTTTTATAGAGGTGGAGGAATTTGTTTTTAATAAATACTTCTCTTCGTTTAAGCGACGATCTGTTGAACTGCGATCTCCTACTTTAGAGTCAACGAGAGAACTGCGATTTGGCGCTGGAAATTGAGATGCTCCAGGAACGCCTGGAAGAAGCTAACGAGACCATTTCACAGCATGTACGTATGGATGATTTTCAAAACGATAGACACCTATTATTATACGGCTCTATTTGTCGGTGCATAGTGAGATCTATCGAGATTGTGCATTCAAGATTACACAAAAGCACTGTCGTAGAAAGCATATGAACATTTTTTTAGTTGGTAAACCACTCTGAAGTGCAACAGTAATCATTATTTTACGTGCCTAAGCCCCATCTTAAGAGAATTTCAGTAATTTTGTTTCCAAGTAAATGAGTACTACAAAAAGATGGTGTACGCACAACCAAAAGCGAACTCTAGTGGGATGGAAGCCGTTGGGATCCTATTTTAACAGTAATTTTATAATAGTTTGCAGGAAAGTGGCTAAAACACTCCCAACTATGAGTCTGGTTATCATGTTACGAGCAGGTGATTAAAATATAGTATGTGCCTGGTGAGCGGTACAACCGCAGCAGACACATAAATGCAACATCACCTGGCTATAAAGGTAACCCCGCTGTTTAGTGCAAAGTATGCCACATGGGGCCTTCATAGTGGAAAGTAACACAACTATGAGACTGTTGTCATCTTAGGTGGACACAATTCGACGCAAAGAGGCCGAACTTTCAATGATCCAGAAAGAACGTGATTTGCTGAGACACACGCAGGAGGAAGACACCGCTTCCCTCCGTAAACGCTACCAATCATCTATAGACGAGCAGAATCACGAGCTTGATGAATTCCGACGCATTAAGCACAAGTACGTCATCCCTCACTTTCCATTTTCCTTGTCTGTCTTTTATTTTCCTCAATCGCTTTCCATAACTCCTAGAGAAAGGGTAGGAATAAACGCAAATGGATGCGGTAACTCGATGTGTTTGACCTCGTTTACGAGTTTTGGTTGACCTTTC